AAGCTGTACCACATGAAGAGGAACGTGGCATTGGATTGGAGGAAAAATCAGTAACAACCTGTGATATGCAGATGACACAACTCTGCTTGCTGAAAGTGAAGATGACTTGAAGCACTTACTGACGAAGATCAAAGACTACAATCTTCAGTATGGATTACATCTCACATAAAGAAAAAAAATCCTCATAACTGGACCAATGAGCCACATCACGATAAACAGAGAAAAGACTGAAGTCGTCAATGATTTCATTTTGCATGGATCTATAATCAACACACATGGAAGCAGCAGAGACGAAATCAGACATCATACTGCACTGGCCAAATTTGTTGCAAGGGACCTCTTTAAACTTCTAAAGACCAAAGATGTCACTTTGAAGACTAACCAAAAAAACCAAACTCACTGCCATCAAGTTGGATCCTACCCATAGTGACCCCTTCTTGGGTTTCTGAAGTAGTATCACTACAGAAGTAGATTGCCCAACCTTCCTTCCGAGGAGTGGCTGATGGGTTTGAATCACCAGCCTCTGGTTAGCAGTCAAATGCCTTAGGCACTACACCCCAGAGCTCCTCGTTGAAGACTAAGGTGCATTTAACCCAAGTCATGGTCTTTTCGGTCACCTCATATGCATGTGAAATGTGGAGGACGAATAAGGAAGATCAAAGAAGAGATGATGCTTTTGAGTTATGATGTTGGTGTAAAATACTAGAAGTACAATGGACTGTCAGAAGAACAAACAAATCTGTCCAGGAAGAAGTGCAGCCGGAACGCTGCTTAGACATGAGAATGGCCAGACTTTGTCTCACCTACTTTGGTCATGTTATAAGAAGGGACCAGTCCCTGAAGAAGGATATCATGCTTGGTAAAGTGGAGGGTCCGTGAAAAAGGGGAAGGCCCTCAACAACATGGACCGACGCACCCATCCGATGCAACGACAGGCTCAAGCACAGCAAGGACTGAGGATGGTGCAGGACCAGGCAATGTTTGGCTCTGCTGTATGTAGGATCGCTGAGTTGGGGCCGACTGATGGTACCTAACAACAATCTCTATGGAGGAGCCCCACTGGCACAGTGGGTAAGCATTTGACTGCTGACCAAAAGCCACTCCATGGGTGAAAGATATGCCACTCTGCTTTACAAATGCAGCCTTGGAAACTACGGGGGCAATTCTATCTTGTTCTATGGGGTTGCTATGAGTTGGAATCTACTCAATGGCCATGGGAAGCAGACTGCCACATCTTTGCCTTGAAGAGCAGATGGTGGGTTCAAAATGCCAACCTTTTAGTTAGCAGCCAAGCGCTTAACCACTGTGCCACCAGAGTTCACCTGGAGGAGGCTAAAAACCAAACACAAAACCCACTGCTGTTGAGTTGATCCTTTTTAGGACAGAGTAGAACTGCCTCATAGGGTTTCCAAGACTGTAAATATTTATAGAAGCAGACTGCCACATCTTTCTCCATGGAGGCCTGTGGGCTCAAACCACCATCTTTCTGGTTAGCAGCCAAGTGGCGAACCACTAGGGAGTAACCAATCACAGCTGACATCTCATGCACACTTCTTATGTGACTACACTAAGAGTTTACTTTTATCATGGACTCGTTATTATGGACTCATCTTTAGGACGAGGTGGAAATGCCCAGTCTTCCATACATGTTAGAACTGTTCTTAGAGGAGGAGAATGGAGTCCTTGTGTCCTTTATCACTCAGGGAGAAGCCCTTTAAGTTTCCTCTCCTGGTTCTGCAAGGGGAAGGACAGTGTAGAGACCCCTGGCACCCCCTACTGGATGACCCTGAATCCTTTCTGAGTGTCTCTCTGCCCTAGAAGTTATTTCACCCTCTGAGGTAGTGATTGGGTCAGGGTGAGACCCCCCCCCAGGACTCTGGTTCCCAGTCCCTTACCTGTGCAGTCCTGAGAAACGTACACCACCAGGTGAGTGACCTCTGAGCAGCTCTCCACAGCTTTCCTGAGGGTGAGAAAGGTGGCCTAAGTTCCTGGGGGTCCCCAGCCACTCCCATTCCCTGTAGCAGCCCTCACCTGAGGATGTGCGCGACCAGTGATGGCCCATACCAGTCACCCGCCTTCTTGTCTGAGCTCTGCCCGAGCTCGACCAGCCGATGTAGACCAAAGGGGGCTCGGGGATGGTCAGCAAACCAAGAAACAATCTGCCGGTGCCGGTGCTCCTGCTCCAGCTCAGGGGTGCTGTGGGTCCAGCGGGGGGGCCCCCAGCGGGCAGGACTGCGGGGCCGACTGGGAGAAGCCAATGCAGACAGCTCAGGCGGGACCAGGCCTGGGCCCTCGGCCCATGTCCAGTCTGGTGGGAGTGGGGACACAGTCAAACAGTGCTAAGGTGTGTGGGGGCAGTTCCCACTTACTCACACCTTATACACAATTCCAGTGCTCCTGGCTCCCCATATTTAACTATAATTCACACATTGCTGAAAACTCTGACTTTATAAACAACCCTCACTCCTGCCAAACTTCAGTGCATGCAATTTGAACATGACTTCAGGCTTGTGGTTTACTACTAGTGCAAACCCCCTGACACGTGCAACTGGCGCTGTGTTCATGGTGCCCCTCCACTCCCTGGCATCACTCACCTCTGGGCAGAAAGTGCAGCAGCAGGCCCTGGGCCAGCATCATCTGCCCGCTGCGTAACATGCATCCCCAGCCGCAGTCTGAGGTCAGGCAGCCCCCAGCAAGTGGTGGGAAGTCCCGGCGATATGTGAGCCACAGGCGGGACATGAAGTCCCGCTGGAAACGCTGGATGTCACCTATGAGAGCCAACCTGTCAGTTGCAGCCAGAGATACCCCTGGAGGCCTCCCTCAACTCCAGCCCCAATCACCAGCTCACCCTCGCCCTCTAAGCGGTAGCGGCGGCCACAGAGGTAGACACTGGAGATTTTGCTAAAGCTGGTCCGGCTTTTGACGGCCCAACCTGGGGAGACGTGGGGCAGTGTCCAGCGAGATGATGCACTTGCTTGACAGACACCCACCATAAGTTAAGACAGCCATAGCACATCCAGTCCCCCATCCATCTAGGACACAGGGGTGATCCCAGCTTCTAAATCCAGGGTGGCTCTGGGGAACCCATGCAATATTCCTCTTAGGCAAAGGCCAGGCCCCTAGTAACAGCCACATGAGTATCCGTTATTAATCCTGGATGAATTAATGCTGTTGTTTTTATTGTACCCATTTTACAGAAGAAAAAAATGGAAGCAAAAGAGCTCGGCCAAGGTCACAAGGGGAATTAGAGGTCACTTGAAAATACACTCTGTCTTGGATTTGACACAGGTCCGCCCTGGGCTGGGCAGGGTGGGGAACCCACAGGTGACTCACGGGAGAAAAAATGGTATTATAACCGGCTGGTTCTCCTGGACCCCCACCCACCTCTGGACCCCCTCCCTGGCTGAAGCCTCAGCTCTCTCGCACCTCAGGACCCTGCCCCCAGGCCGGCCCGGCCCAAAGCCTCCCCAGCTGCCCCTCCTCACCGTACTTGACGTTGTTCCAAGCCGTCAGGAACTTCGCCTTAAACTTGTCCACCTCGTCCGGCTCCCCGGAGGCAGTCCTGGGCGAGCCAAGGGCGGGGGCGCTGGTTCCGGGGCGGCCCAGGCCGTTGGGATCCGGGAGTCGGGGGGCCCGCGGCCTGCGGCCCTCGGGACGACGCGCGTCCTCTGGGCTCCCGCTCCGGTACTGCCCGGCGGCCGGCGACACCGAGTTCATGGACGCGCCAGGAGGGCGGACCGAGGCCCAGGTGGGGGCTGCGGCCGCCACTCCCGCCCTGCCCGCCGCGCCGCAGGGCTCCCCGCCGACGCGGAGGCCACGGCGTTACTTCGCCTGCCACCCAGCTGCCAGGCGTCCCGTCCCGACCCGGGACGCGGCTGCTGTGGCCGCCATTTGAGCGGCCAAGGGCCCCGGATGCAGGTGGGCGTGGCAAGGCCGCTGCCCCGCCCCAGCCTGGCCCCAAGCTGGGTTACCCTGCTCTGGGTCGGGGGTCGTGGTCCTCTGGGGCCCAGGTTGTGGTGCTTTCCTGCGGCATCCCCACGCCCCCTGCGCCCGCCCTGCCTTATCGCCCCGCCCAGGCGCACCGCCTGCAGGCCTTTATCGGAAGCTCCAGAAGCAGGAAGGCCCCGCCCCGGGCCCCACCCCTGGAACTGCCCCCTTCTGGGCGCTGAGGCGCCAGTCGTTCGGCCCAAGCTGCGTTCGTACCTGCCCGCGTCGGCCCAATGCAATACCAGGCATCCCCGGCAGGGGCGCACGCGGCCGTATCAGGGCGCCCCTCGCGGGCTGCGACCCAGAGCCTGCCCGGACCAAGGGCCAGATCCAGGCAGGAACCTTCTCAGCTGTGTGACCCCGGGCAAGCCACGCTCCTCCGTGCCTCACTTTTCTCATGTGAAAAATGAGGCCCAAACACGCACCGCACAGCAGCATGGATGAATCTCGTACTACTTCTGTTGAGGGAAAGAAACTAGACAAAAAAGAGCATACTATACTGTACTGTTCCACTTATAAAAATTCTGGAAAGTGCCTGAGGAAATTTGTGGGTGTGGTGGCTATGTGTAATGACTTGAACTACGGTAATTTCACGGATGGGAAAACTCATCCAGTTGTACACTTTAAATGTGTGTGGTTTATTATATGTCAATTATACCTCAATAAAGCTTTAAAAATAAATTACATGCATCTAACTCATAGGGATGCTGGGAGGGTGAGGTGAGTTCATGGGTGTAAAGTATGGATGGTTTGAGACACAGTTGTTGTAAACTGTCTTGGAGCGTGCCCCAACTCTCCGGGATTCAATGTTATGGAGTGGAATTACTCCATAGGGTTTTTTTGGCTATAATCTTTAGGGTCTGACTCGACGGCACATAACAACAATCTTTAGGGAGGAGTCCCTGTGTGGTGCACAGTTAAGTGCTCAGCTGCTAGTGGAAAAGGTGATTTGAACTCACCCAGAGGCACCTTAGGACCTCTGGTAGCGTAGTGCCTAAGGCACTTGACTGCTAACCAGAAGGCTGGTGGTTCAAACCCACCAGCCACTCCTTGGAAGGAAGGTTGGGCAATCGACTTCCATAGTGATACCGCCTCAGAAACCCAAGGAGGGCTCGCTATGAGTTGGGTCCGACTCGATGGCACATAACAACAACAGAGGTACCTTGGAATACAGACCTGGAGATTTGCTTCCAGAAGGCCTTAAAAACCCTATGGAGCAGTTGTGGTCTGCACACTGTAAGTTCACCATGAATCAGAACCAAAGGCAATTAACAACAGCAACATGGTCTTTATGAAGCACTTACCCAGGTCTTTCTTCCAATGGCCCTACATGTTAGAGTGGAACTGTTCCATAGGGATTGCTTGGCTACAACTTTATGGAAGCAGGTCACCAGGCCTTTCTTCTGCAGCACCACTGGGTGGGTTCAAACCACCAGCTTTCAGTTAGAAGCAAACTGAAAACCACTCCTGTCACCAAAGTTCCTTGAGACACAGGGCTCAGCAAAAGCTAACCATGACCTCAGAGTCCTAATGACAATGTCATGATCCTATAAAGGTTGAGGAGGCTGTTTTTTTGTGGTCAACCCAAGGGCTCTGTCCTCAGCCTGCTGAAGGAAATCCAATAAGGATTTGGATGAGGGTGTGAGTTGTGCAAAGGTTAACACTCAGCTGCCAACCAAAAGGGTGGAGGTTCAAGTCTTCTCAGAGGTGCTATGGATGAAAGGCCTGGTAATGAACTTCTGAAAAGTCAGCCACTGAAAACCTTACGGAGCACAGTTCTACCCTGACACACATGAGATTGCTATGAGCTGGAAACAACTAGATGGCAACTGGTTTGGTTTTTGATTTAATGGAGTCTCTACCAAGTCTCCATACTCAATGGCTAGTCATCACCCTGATTTTGCCTCCTTTCATTCTACCCTCTCTTACCACCAGTCACACTGGCCTCCTTTCTCCAACTCACCAGGCACAGTGAAAGACCTCAGGGCCTTTGCACTTGTTGTTTCCTCTGTCTGGAACATTTATCCACATCCTCTCTTGCATGGGGCCTAGCACACAGTAGAGGCTTAATTAACAATGTGTTGAATGGAAGGAGAACTTGGAAAGGCCCCCAGGACAGCTCTCGAGGCTCCAGGGGACACTGGGCCCTAGAAGACCTCAGTTGTGGCTGCATGGAGGAGGAAAAGCTGCCAAAGGAAATCCACACACCAAAAAAACCTAGAGCAGTGCTGTCTAGTAGGAACGTAATTGGAGCCATAGATGTAATTTTTACTATTCAAGTAGCCACATTAAAAAAGGTAAAAAGAAATCGATGAAATTAATTTTAGTAGTGCATTTATTTAATCAACATATGCAAAATATTATCATTTCAACATGTAATAAAAATTTATGGAAATTTATTTTTTAAATACTAAGTCTTCAAAATCCAGTGTGCATTTTACATTGACACCACATCTTAATTTAGACAGCAACATTTCAAGGGATCAGTAGTCATCTGTGGTCAGTGCCTACCGCATTGGATCTACCTGTTGCCATCAAGAAGATTCTGACACACAGTGACCGTACGGGACAGAGTAGAACTGCCCCATAGAGTTTCCAAAGCTGTAATCTTTGCATGAGCCAATTGCCTCATCTTTCTCCCACGGAGTGACTGGTGGATTCAAACCACCCACCTTTTGGTTAGCAGCCCAATCCTTTAACCACTGCACCAGCAGATCAGGTAACATAACCACCACTCAGGTTAAGACATCAGACATCTGGGCTGCAGCTGGCTTTCCTGGGTCCCCACCCTCCCCACCTGCAGACAACTCCAGCCCTGAGCTGGGCTGACCATTTTGAGCCTGGTGTGGGGCTGGAAGACTTCAGGGACAGGCTTGATGGCTTATGTCAGTCGGGGCTGACCCTGCTCTTTCCACCTCTTTTTCTCCTCCTGCTCTTCTTTTTCTTCCTCCTTCCTCTCCCCACCCCCTTCAGCAAACCAGCCTCCAAGCAACCCCATACCAGGTACACCCCACGGGGCCACCCTAGGCTCATCTGATACCAGGTGCCCAATCTAGAAAGCGCATGAGGAAGCTTGGGGTGGATATATTAGGATCTTGAATTGTGGGGTCTCATGGGTGTGAGAACTCATGCAATTGTATCCTTTCAATGTTAGGCTTGGTACTAGCATCCACCTTGGATCTCAAATAATAATGATTGTCATGGTTCAAATTTTTGTCCTTCCTGCTCAGCAGCTCCTTTATCATGAGTGCCCAGACTCCCAGTGAACACAAATATAATAATTCCTAAACAACAGTGTCATTGCTTTTTAATCCCTTCCAGTGCCCCCCATAAGGATATAAGCCCCATGAAGTTAAAGGCTAGAAGGATTTCCAGAGCACCTACCGGTCACCTGCATCTCACCAGCCATCTCTGCTCTTGTGCCCCTTGTGTTAGAACAAGATAGTTACACGGTAAGTGTTTGTTGAATGACTAAATGAATGATTGTGGAACTTAACCACCCTCAAAGCCTCCCTTGGCAGTTTCTGAGGGTCTCTGCATCTGCCTTCGCCAGGCCTCCAGATCAATTCCTTCAAGTTTTCCTACCTAGATCCTTCCCTTTGTCCCATTGACTTTACCTGTAAAATTGTACAGCCACTGTGGAAAACAATTTGTCAGTTCTTTAAAAAGTTAAATGTAGAAAGTAGGAGGCGGGGCAAGATGGCGGACTAGGCA